CTACTGATATAAGGTTGGGATCACGAGGTGCACAAGACCTTATCCTTAAGACTGACAGCTGGGCTCACCTTTATTTATTCGTTTGGAAAATATATTAGATAAAGTTAATAAGGTTAAATGTATTAACTTTTTCCATGTGATTCTCATCTTGCTGATGTTCTAGAAGTTTTATTTTATTTTGTTTGAAACCTGGCTGTTCGCCCATGCCTTGGGGTAATGGGGAAGCCCGACGTGGTGTGTGTTTTTGCAATATATGCAAGTATATTTTGCTTAGACATCCGTGGTCTTGTCTGTCCTTGATTATTTGTACTCTGTTAAAATGTAAACCTTCCACTTTGGAATCAGGCTGCCTTTTTTAAACCTCTGCTTCTCAAATGTTTTCCTTGGTTACCCAAGCCTGCTTTTCCAGAAAGTCTTATCAAACTTCAAGGACAGGTGGTAAGTCCCTTCCATCAGCACCACTGTAACTTTGGTCACTGAATAAATAGTTTTAACTCGAGGACTGCCCCTTATCATAAAACCCCTATCCCTGAAGGACCTTCATGTCATTTCAACAAATTGCCCTTGTTATTTCATCTGTTTTCATCTTCTATTAGGGGATGTTTCCAATATGTTTTGGGGCACATAGCAATCTTTAGCTAAAGGTAAAGGTTCCCCTCCTTGCACATACGTGCTAGTTGTTTCCGGCTCTACGGGGCAGTGCTCACAAAGCCGAAGAGCCAGCGCTGTCCGAAGACATCTCTGTGGTCACGTGGCCGCTATGACTAAACATCAAAGGCACACGTTACACTGTTCCCTTCCCACTAAAGGGGTCCCTATTTTTCCACTTGCATTTTTTACATGCTTTTGAACTGCTAGGTTGGCAGAAGCTGGGAGCTCACCCCGTTATATGGTGCTAGGGATTTGAACCGCTGAACTGCTGACCTTTCTGACTGACAATCTCAGTGTCTTAGCCACCGAGCCACCACGTCCCACTTAGCAATCTTTACAGTCCATTTAATTGTCCCCCTTGGGATGGGGAATGGGTTTGTGTGTTGTTCCCCAAAGAATAACCAATTTGGGGTAAATTATCCAGTGCATTAAGTCTAACAAAAGAATGAAGTTAAGATAAAACTTTGCAGTCGTGTTTGACTCTAGGGGTATCTCTGCTCATCTCCGTTTCCTTGCCAAGGGAACCAGCATTGTCCAAAGACACTTCCATGGTTATGTTGCCAGCATGACTATGCACAGAACACTGTTATCTTCCCACCTATGTATCTACTTGGCATGCTTTTGAATTGCTAGGTTGGCAGGAGGTGGGCCAGGTAACGGAGCTCAACCCTTGCATGAGAGCTCGGGTCTCAAACCCAGGATCTCGATTTTCCAGATGACAAGCTCAGCTTTTTTAAACCGGTGAGCCAGAATAACAAAACAATAAAAGTGGTCAGATGCTCCATCTTTTCTATCCTGCTCTACAGAATAGAGTTGGTCTCTGACAGAAAGACACTTGAAGAGAGTAGAAGCATTTGAAAGGTGGGTTTACAGGTGGCTGTTATATGTAAGCTGGGTTGATGAAATCAGAAATGAGGAGGCAATAAGCTGCCTGGAAAAGCCAAGGGAAGTCATCAAAACTGTTCAAAAGCGAAAGTTAGAAAATTTTGGGACATGTGATGAGACACCTGGAAAAATACGGCATCCTTCACTTAATCCTCCAGGGAAAGATTGAAGGCAAATGAAGGTCCAGGCAGAAGAAGAACCGCATGGCCTCAAAATCTAAGGGACTGGTTTGAACAAAACTCAACAACACTTTTTTCATGTGGCTGTCGATAAAAATAGGATCACCAACATGATCGCCAATGTCCAATGATGGATATGGCAGGAGGAGGAGGAGGAGGAGGAGGAGGAGGAGGAGGAGGAGGAGGAGGAGGAGGAGGAGGAGGAGGAGGAGAAGAAGAAGAAGAAGAAGAAGAAGAAGAAGAAGAAGAGTGGGCTAACAAACAGAGTCACAGGATCAACTTAAAAGGCCCAACACGTTTGTATAAACTGATGCCAAATGATGCTGCAATACACAGTGTTATCAGCGCAGGAAAGCCGCCCTAATAATACATAATAATCTCGGACCCAAGTCGCAAGGACTGCAGGTTGACGCTGCCACACTCATTTGATCTGTGAACGATTAACCACCCTAAGCCTGAGCTCAGTGGTGTGACACTGGACACCAGCTGATAATTAGCCTTAAGGAGAGATAAGAAAGTAAAGGAGACCTTGAATTGAGCTCTGCTCCGGGTGACTTCAGAAACAGGGCTGTATGGGAAGAGGGGAAATGGTACAGGTAGTCCTCAAGTTACAACAGTTCACTTAGTGACCATTCAAAGTCACAACGGCACTGAAAAAAAAGTGACTTATGACTGTTTTTTACATGCCTGATCATTGCAGCATCCCCATGGTCACTGGATTTACATTCAGGTGCTTGACAACTGGTTCCTAATTATGATGCTCGCAGAGTGTCCCAGGGGATCACGTGGTCCTCTCTTGCGACCTTCTGACAAGCAAAGTCAATGGGGAAACCAGGTTCACTTAACAACCATGTGACTAATTTAACAGCTGCCGTGATTCACTTAGCAAAAGCGGCAAGAAAAGTCATAAAATGAGGCAAAACTCACTTAAGCTCATTTAGTAACATAAATTCTGTGCTCAATTGTGGCTGTAAGTCGGGGACCACCTGGACCAGGAGATTAACAAGCTACAATTTAAGGATCCTGGAGAAAGCCTTCAATTCTCCATTTCCTCTCCTATATGGGCCACAATGGAGAAACTACAGAAAAGAACCTGAACATTTTCTGTTTTTCTCATTCTCCAGAGTGTGGCTGTCAAATTCAGATACCCAGGAGGAATTCAGGACGCTGGGAACTTGTCCTTTAGCAGGTAATGATCCAGCCGAGACAAACAGTCATCACTGCTTTCCTCTTTCCCCAAACCCATGGATCACTTTTTAAAAAATCTACTTACAGAACCTATATTCAGAATAAACCCAATGCAGAGGTGGTATTCAGCTGGTTCGGACCAGAGAACCAGTAGTGGAAATTTTGAGCAGTTTGGAGAACCGGCAAATCCCACCTCTGACTGGCCCCGCCAACCCCACCTATTCTCTGCCTCCCATTGAGTCCGAGCTGATTGGTGGGTCTTCTTTGGTTGCCCTGACCAGGAGAACGGAGCTGGAAAGCAGGTTAGTGGGGTGGGGAGGGAATGGGGATTTTGCAGTATTCTTTCCCTGCCACGCCCACCAAGCTACATCACGCCCACCAAGCCACGCCCACAGAACCGGTAGTAAAAAAAATTGAATCCCATCACCGACCCAACCATACCTGTTGGTTTCATAGTTTGAGAGGAATCCATGAAAATGCAAACCAGGTCAGACCAGATGGTCAATCAACATTTTGAAGATCCAGAAGACCAGCCACCTTGGAGGTCCATGCCAGAGGCCATGATATCAGTGACTGCCAGTAGGCCTGGGGGTCTCCAAACTTGACCACCTTAAGACCTGTGGACTTCAACTCCAGAATTCCCCAGCCAGCTTGGGGAACTGGGAGTTGAAGTCCACAAGTCTTGAAGTTGCCAAGTTTTGGAGACCCCTGGGCTAGGTGATACAGTACATCTTCACACTCTCTCATGAGTTCCTTTGTCTTAGAATCTACACATTAGAGCAGAGGTCTCCAAACTTAGCAACTTTAAGACTTGCGGAGTTCAGCTCCCAGAATTCTTCAAGTTGCCAAGTTTGAGGATCACTGCATTAGAGGCAACTTTGCCCTCTAAACGTGAGATATGAAGACAGCTGCAAGGGAGAAAGATTCTTCAAGACAACGTATCTTTCACCAACTCACATCAAAAACCGATGCTTTATGTTTCATTGCCAAATCCCTCTCATGTCGCATTCAGAAGTTCTGAAGAAGATCTGTCAACGCAACTTTCCGAGAGCGCCATATGGGCTCTGAAAGTTATAAATGACCAAGAATTCTGTTCATACAAGGTCCATCCTTTCTGCCCTTCAAGACTGACAAGAATCCACAGCCTCCAGAGATGATAACACTGTACTGCAAACCAGGGCGTACAAAACCTTCGCCAGACCAATTCTCGAATACAGCTCATCTGCCTGGAATCCACATTGTATAACCAACATTAATACAATTGACCGAGTCCAGAAGTATTTCATGAGAAGAGTCCTCCACTCCTCCGCTCGCAATAGAATACCTTATGCCTACACCAGGCTTGAAATTTTGGACCTGGACAACTTAGAACTACACTGCCTACGGTCTGATCTAATCTTAGTACACAAAATTGTCTGCTACAATGTCCTACCTCTCAGTGACTACTTCAGCTTCAACCGCAATAACACACGGGCAAACAATAGATACAAACTCAAAGTAAACAGCTCCAAATTCGATTGCAGAAAATATGACTTCAGCAACCGAGAGCTCAATGCCTGGAACTCACTACCTGACTCTGTTGTTACAGCCTCAAACCCCCAAAACTTTAACCTTAAACTGTTTACCGTGGACCTTACTCATTCCTAAGAGGTGTGTAAGGGGTCGTGCATAAGCGCACCAGCGTGCCTACCGTCCCTGTCATACCGTTCCCATTTATTTGTACTCATCTATTATGTATATACTTATACCTGTTTATACTTATATGTTTATATGTTATGTTCACACTTATACTTGTTTTCTCATACATGCTTGACAAATTAAACTAAATAAATAAATGATATTGTAACAAAGAACTTTAAAAGAGTCTTATTGGTTCGCTTCATATCTACCCATCAACCTGACATTAGTGGGTTAATTCTGTCCAACCTGAAGTCTCCCAGATGTGCTTAGATGAAAACTCCTTTCATCCCCAGGCAGATGGGAAGTGTAGTCCAGACACGACTACAGGGCAACAGATTTGGGAAGACGATTGAGACTGACTCTGCTTCAGGGTGGCTTTTGTGTTTCTCTCAAGAACCACAAGGTCAGCCTTTTTACAGCCAAAGGTATACTGCCTTTCCACATGGAAGCTCTTCCATCCAGTCTCCGCAGCTGCCACGGAGATCTTTGCTTGCTAGGAATAATGCCAGTCAAAGCCTCAACATCTGGAAGGCACGTTTGAAGGCTGCTGGGAAGCAGCTGTTCCGATTGCATTCGCCAGAGAAGACAATCCAGGAAATTCATCTGAGGAAGGGGGAAGTTGATGCGGAGCCCCTGCCATTTTGTCAACAAAGGCAAGTGTGTCATTTAGGGTATTTTATCCCTTCCTTTCCAAAGCCACTTTCTAATTACATTCCTCCCCCTTATACAGCATTGGCCCCTTGCTGCTCACCCAGGATTATTCTTTCGATGGATCTCGCAAAGCAACTAAAGGTGCTTTTTTGTTTTTCTTTTTTTCAAGAGGCAGCTTGGACTTCCTGGTTTTTCTTTTCTTTTTCTTTGAAGGCGTTTCGCTTCTCGTACAAGAAGCTTCTTCAGCTCTTGAACTCAGAGCTGAAGAAGCTTCTTGGAAGAGAAGCGAAACATCTTCAAAGAAAAACCAGAAAGTCCAGTTGCTTCTTGGAAAAAAGAAAGAAAAAAAAGCACCTTTGGCACAACCAGGATCTGGAGGAGTGAGAATCTCCATAGACAAAGAAACTAACCCACTCCGAACTGCACTTAGGCGCTGCTTTCGCGCGGTTTGCGCCTCGGGAACGACGAGGGGCCGCTCCAGCCCCCCCCTCCCCACGCCGCTACTCAACGGCTCCAAACGATGCACCCCAGGCCTGTCCGCTTGGCTCACGGACCGGGACCGAAACCAGGACCCGCTGGCCGCCTGGGTGGTCCCGGAGACTTCTGCTCCGCGCGCGGCGGCTCTGCCGGCGTCCAGCCCTCGCTAGTAGCCGCCGCCACCGCCTCCCTCCCCGCATACACCTGTTTGGAGCCATCACCGAGAAGGGGGCGCACTGCCAGGGTTCATTGGCCGCCGCCGCCACCGGGCCGTGCGCGCGTTCCTCCTTTCGGGGACGCAGCAGTCGGCTGGCCTCCGCGGCTCCGTTACCTTTTCTCGGCCGGGGTCCGGCTGCCTTCCACCCCGCTCCTCCCTCGGGGCTTCTCTCTCCTTTCCGGACTCCCTTTCTTTGCGCGCAGCCTGCGGGCGCCCCGTGCGCTTCCCCGGCGGCTCCTCTGCGCCCCGAGCGCCCGCCCGAGCGCTCCTTCCTCGGTGAGAGCCCTTCCCGGGGAAGGGGCGATCTTGGGGAGCCAAGAGAAGCCGGACCCTCCTGGTTCGGGGCTTACCTTCCACCGCGGTCAAGGTCAGTAGCAGCAGCAGCAGCAGCGCCCAGCCCGGCAACGCCATGGGAGCCTGCGGCGGAGAAGCGAGGGGGCCGCCGGAGCCCCTGCTCGGCTGGTTGGCGGCGGCTGGGGTGGGTCTGCTTCTTCTTTCGTTTTTTTAGACGGGCGCGCAAGCCGGAGATGGGGTCGCTCGCCCCTCCATCGCCATCTTGTGTGACTGAGAGAGGGACTCCGCCAGTTGCATACCCACCGACCCAGCCCTGCCTCCTGCACGCACGCACGCTCCCTTGCTTACCCACCCACCCACCACCCACCCACCCTCACACACACACACACACACCCGCGGGCGCGCGTCAAGTCCCCGATTGGGGAGTCCGCTGGAGACGCCCGCGCCTCCTCCTCCTCCTCCTCCTCCACTCGCTCGCTCTTTCGCTCGGCAGAGCCGCCGCCCCCCCCCCCCCCCCCCCCCCCTCTCGCCGCGGAGAAGACTTGGGCAGATGGGTCCCCCTCCGGGCTGGGGAGGGAAGTGGACCAGAGGCAAGGAGGGAGGGAAATAGAGCCAAGTGGGGGGAGGAGGAGAAGGAAGGGGGGAAAGAACCGAAGCCAAGAGGGTGTGTGTGTGTGTGACCGAGCCAAGGAGTGGGAGGGGGAGAAGACGGAGGGGTGGGGGGGCGATCGAACCAGGAGGGATGGGAAGAGGGAGAAGACCCCAAACAAGGGGGGGGCAAGCCAGAAGGGGTGGAGAGGGGAAGGGGATCGAGCCAAGGGGGGTGGAGGAGACGAAGACCGGGGGAGGGGAGGGAGACCGAGACAAGAAAGGGTGGGTAGGGGGACAGCACGGAGGGAGGGGACCGGAGCCAAGTGTTGGGGGGGGGGGGGAAGACGGGGGGGCGGCTCCAGAGCCGGGGGAGGGAAACTGATCCAGAAGGGATGGGGAGGAGGAGAAGGAGTGTGTGTGTGTGGGGGGGGGAGTTTCCGACTTTGCTGGCCCGTTGCCCTTGCCAAGCCCTCCGGTCCCCCGACCCTCTGGGGCCAGACTTCTTTTGCCTCCGGGGCCGCCCCGCCGTCTCTTTCTTTCTCTCTTGGGTCTAGCTGAAACTCGACCGTGGAAGGAGGTTTTGCGCGCAAGCAAGGCTCCGGTTTCCCCGTGGAAACCCGGCCCTGGTTAGGGCGAAGGAGGAGTGGGATCCCCCGACGAGTGGATCCCGAGAAGCGGGATTTTGAGGGATTCCGCTTTACGGGTGGGTGGAAGCTGTCCCTGAAAGACACGCCAGGTCCCCACCGGTTCAAGCCCCGTAGCGGGGAGGGGAAGAGCGTTTTCTGGATGCAAATCGGGGAGGGGTCGTTCACGGACCTTCCTTGCAACTGCTCAGCCCTCCCCCCCCTTCCCCCAAAGGACTCTCCCAGGAGAGGAGAATTTCGGAAAAATTGGCCAAGAAGTCTGCTAACTTAATCACCCAGGGGTCAAAGGTCTGTGTGACTATTCTGATTTAATCCTCGTTGAAGACCAAAGTTTGGCAGACTGTTTTCCTAGGACTGCTGTCAAAAGCTTAACTCCGCTCAGGAATATTCTGACGACCTGGATGCCCAGAGGAATGAGAGAAAGGACACCCAGCCGTCCTAGCACTTTCCCAGAAGGAAGAAGTGTGATCTAGAATCTCTTATCTTTGGTAGCACTAAGAGAAGCCGTTTCCTTCTGGGAAATTGTGCCACCGAAGGTCCCTGAACGTCTATGCAACCTTCTGCCAACATGCTGCCCCTTCCCCATTCGGGTTAGGAATTCTGGAATTTAGCCGGACCCTGGAAATCGTCCCTGTAATTTCCTAGGCCATGGTTTCCAGAAGAGGTTTACCGTTGTCTCTTCTAGGGCTGAGAGGTAATGACTGGCTCAAAGGCACCAGCTGGCTTTCAGGCCAAAGGTGGGACTAGAACTCAGAGACTCCTGGTCTCTAGCCTGATGCCTTAACCACTAGACAAAACTGGGTCTCCCTTGGAAGGACGCCATAACCAATAGCAACAGCGCTTAGACTTATACACAGTGCTTATTCACAGTGCTTTACAGCCCTCTCTAATCGATTTATAGCCTCTTGTCCCCAACAACCTGGGTCCTTATTTTACCCACCTCAGAAGGATGGGAGGCTGAGTCAACCTTGAGCCAGTCAGGATCGAACTGCTGGCAATGGGCAGAGTTAGCCTGCAATACTGCATTCTAGCCACTGGAAAGGAAGGGAGGAAGGACAGGGAAGGAAGGAAGGAAAAGTACTTCTATACCATTTCACAGTGCTTTACAGCCCTCTCTAAGCAATTCACAGAATTAGCATATTGCCCCCCAACAATCTGGGTCCTCCTTTTATCCACCTCAACCTTGAGCTGGTCAGGATTGAACTCCTGGCAGATCGGCAGAGTTAGCTTGCAATCCTGCATTATAACCACTGCGTCACTAAAGTTATTTAGAGCCACTAAAGTTATCTCAGAGAACCTGCATGATTTGTTTTTCCCATTCCGTCCCAAAGGTGCTTTTTTATTTTTATTTTATCAAGAGGCAACTGGACTTCCTGTTTTTTCTTTGAAGACGTTTCGCTGCTCATCCAAGACGCTTCTTCAGCTCTGACTGGATGGTGGGGATAGATAGCTATCTCCAGTCAGAGCTGAAGAAGCTTCTTGGATGAGAAGTGAAATGTCTTCAAAAAAACAACAACCCAGAAAGCTCAATTTCCTCTTGATTAAAAAGATTTGGGACAACCATCACCTGGATAACTGAGAATCTCCGTAGATATTTCCCATTCAGTCCGTTGCCTTGTTCATCCCGAGTGGCTTCTACCTGGAGCAGGCTTTGTCCTATAACCTGGCTAATCCCAATCCAGAGAAAACTGCATGACCCAGGTTGGCATTTGGGATTGCAAAACTCGCTTTCTTCACCCCAACCAGCCTCCGTTCGATCCTCTATCTCTTGCATTGGAGTGCAAGATCTCTGCAAGAGCTACAATCTTTGCAAGAGCTACAAAAAAGTGTCCAAACTGCTCCCAGCAAGGCACTGCTTCTTGCAAAAGGCAGAAGCTGAAGAAGATGCTCGTGTAATCTGAAAGCTTGCTGCCTTGTGGATTGCCGTTCCATCCAAGAAAAAAGATTAAAAACAGCCAAACCGTAAGAACACAACCAGCAGCAAACATATAAGGCTTGCCCTGTCTCAGCTAAGGCCTGCCAAGATGGAGCAGCTGGCTGCATTAATAGCCACCCTCATGTAAGCGGAGCACAAAATAAGCAATTTGCTCCAGAAATGAGAGAGATCGAGACGATTCTGTCTAGTAAAGAGAGAGAGAGAATGAACCTTTAAATGCTCCTGCCCTTGGGGAGCTTGTATATAATAAGTTCGTTTCATTATGTCAATTCTCATAAATATTTATTGCCAACTGGCAACTTCTTGTTACTGCTTAGAGAACGGTGTGTGTGTGTCTGTGTGTGTGTGTGTGTTACAGTTTCTCCCAATCCTCAGGATGCTTGTGGGAAAAAGAAAGGCAGAAGCTTCTTGGAGGAGAAGTGAAACGTCTTCAAAGAAAACCCAGAAAGTCCAGTTACCTCTTGAAAAAAAAAGCACCTTTGGGACAAAGAACAAGGCAGAGACTAAAAACTGAATGCAAAGGGTGTAGAAAATGGTTGTGCGGTGAGATACGGAGCCTGAAGCTGGTAACAGCTTATTGGGATTACAGCTAACCTTCAACCTACAACCGTTCCTTTAGAGATTGTTCAAAGTTACAATGGCAGTGAAAAAAAAAGTGATTCTGGGCCATTTTTCACAGTTCCAATGGTTGCACCATTCCCACAGTCATGTGGTCAAATTACGATTTGTTCTTTCTAAGGTAAAGATGTTGTGAAGAGAAGAGAAGAGAAGAGAAAAGAGAAGAGAAGAGAAAAGAGAAGAGAAGAGAAGAGAAGAACAGAATATAGAATAGAATAGAATTTGGAATAGATTATGGAATAGAACATAGGATAGAATATAGGATAGAATGAAAGAGTATAGACTAGAGTGTAAAATATAGAATAAAATGTAGAAGAGAAAAGAAGAGAAAGGAATAGAATATAAAATATAGAACAAAATAGAACATGGAATAGAATAGAATAGAATAGAATAGAATAGAATAGAATAGAATAGAATAGAATAGAATAGCAATAAGAAGAGAAGAGAAGAGAAGAGAATATAGGATAGAATTAAACGGAATAGAATAGGACAGGATGCGATGTGATGCAATGCAATGCTACACAACGCAACACAACACAACACAGTGGTAGGAAGGGGCTTTGGAGGTCTTCTCCACCCCCCTACCAAAGCAGGAGACCCAAATGGCTGTCCAATCTCTTTAAAACCTCCAGTGATGGAGCCACCACAACTTGTGAAGGCCAGCCATTCATATGAACATACAGTTTCTAAACCAGCAACAACACCCATTGCAATTCAGAGATGCTCTTTTTGAGATTGCAGCACATGCCAAGACCTTGACATTCAAATGACCATGTTCTGATTGAAGTAACAAGGACTTTCAAAAACACCAGCAAAGTTAGCCATTTTTTTCAACCTCCCCAAACACCCAAAGACTGCCTTTCATCTCACTGCAGTTCACCATCTTACCAAAGCAGGACATTAGGAAATAAACATGATCCCAACTGCTGCTTTTTAACTACATATTTTAACCCGTAGAGTTGGTTGGTTTGGCTCACCGTTGACCAGCAGTTTCATTCCAAGGTGATCCAATCCATTCTTTAAAAATCTGGCAGCTGAAATGATTCTCTGCTTCAAGTTTTTTTTTTTTAAAAAACCTCAAAAATAGAATCTGACATATCACAGTCCCAACCCTATGTTCTGTTGTCCTGCAAAATAGCAATAGCACTTAGACTTATTATATACCACTTCACAGTGCTTTACAGCCCTCTCTAAGCAGTTTACAGAGTCAGCCTTTTGCCTCCAACAAACTTGCTCCTCATTTTTTATCCACCTCAGAACGATGGAAGGCTGAGTCAATACCCGACTCTGTAGTTTCTTCCCCAAACCCCAAAAACTTTAACCTTAGA